GCCAGGAGGAACTTGCAGAATGTGCCCTTTGGAGATGTAAATTATTATATATGCCTGAGTGGGGTTTTTTTGTGTTTTTTAAAAAAAGCTAAAGTGGATAAAGAGAAATACTTTTAAATGATGGTATATGGAGGGGATTATAATCAATGTAATGAAACAAGTTATATTAATTGTTGAATGTGAAACTGATGATGTGTCCTGTAAACTTTCACTCAATCCAAAATAAAAACATTTGAATAAAAAAAAAAAGTTACAAAATAAAAGATGTATATTTCACCTACATGGTGACGGGTTGTGTAAAAGAATATTCTTTCAAATGTGCCCAAAACGAACCCCTTTTATGAATGAGGGAGCAGACTGGTAGTGCACCATCTGCTGTGGACTGGTGTCACTAGTGCCAGGCACTAACTAGTTCTAACTCTCCATCTTACACTCTACATCAGACCTCCCCACACCTCCCAAGTTAGCTGTGTCTATGTGAGCTGTTCTGGCTTTAGGATCCATGTGTCTGAGCAGCTGGAGGAGATAGCACGGATTTGCCTGCACAATCTGGAAGTATGGCGATGGGGCACTTTCGTCTTCCTGGGACCCTATGAGGAGGACACAGAGAAGAGTCCATCAGCTTGTCTATGAAAGCTGGGTATAAACCTTTGTGGTTTTCAATCATGACTGCTAAAGCAGCATAACCAATGCTCAATGATATATTGATCAAATAAAAAATACACATATATTTTGACAAAGCAATTCTATTCCTAATACCTCTTCTGCCAACATACTTGGACACAGGTAAAAGTGTGTATACAAAAGGATTTTTACTGCAGCACTGCTTATAAAAGCAAGCTTAATAACGAAGGTCCATCAAGAAAAGACTGGCTAAAGAGATTACGGTACAAAATATTTTGGAGCCAGTTTTTTAAAAAGCAGTTCTATGTATATATAACAGGGCCCTGGTAGTATAGTGGTGGTGGTGGTGGTGTGTTATGGAGTTGGTTCCAACTCATAGCGAACTTGTATAGGGTTTCTGAGGCTATAAATCTTTACAGGAGCAAAAATTCTCATCTTTCTCCCACGGAACAGCTGGCAGTTTTGAACTGCTGACCTTGAGGTTAGCAGCCCAACTTGTAACCACTACGCTACCAGAGCTCCTTGGTAATCTAGTGGTTACAGTTTAAATCTACCAGGTGCTTTGCAGAAGAAAGAGGAGGCTTTCTGTTCCCGGAAAAGTTTACAGCCTCGGAAACCCTATACAGGGTTGCTATGAGTAGGAACTAACTTGATGGCACTTAACAACAACTATGTATGTAGTATATATGTGGACTCCTGGTGTGGCCCTGTAGGATAAGCACTGGACTGTGAACCACAAGGCTGGCAGTTCAAACTCACTAGGTGCTCTTTGGAAACCCTATGAGTTGGAACAAACTTGACGGCACTTAACAACAACAACAAATATATAGAAGTCCTTGTGTGGGGCTGTAGGATAAGCACTGGACTGTTAACTGCCGCTCCGCAGAAACCCTATACAGGGTCACTAATAGTCAGAACCGACTTGATGGCACTTAACAACAACACGTCTATATACATAAAGGAGCTAATATTTATATATTTTAATACTAAATTATTCCTTTTTTTTTTTCTTGAGCAAATATAAGCAGGGAAAGAGACACGGCGTGAGAGGGCTGGGGAGGGAAGGTCTCATTGAAAAGGAGCTTTCTGAGTAAAGATCTGGAGGAAGGAAAGTAACAAACTGGATTTCTGGGAGAAATAATTTCAGAAAGAGGGCTTAGCAAGTACAGAGGCCCTAAGGCAGCAAGAAAGCCAGTAGGGAACAGAGGGAATCAGGGGGGTTGTACCAGGGAAATACACTGGGGAGGAGACAGCAGATTGTTTAAGGTCCTGTCATTTCCCCTTTGAGTGACACAGCCAGCCATTGTGTGCAGAGGAGGACCTGACTCCCGACCAACTTATGCTTTTAGTAAGAACACTTCGCTGGCTGCGTGTTAAAAGCTGACCACAAGGAGACCTGCGTGAATGTAGGCAGGTAAGTTAGAAGGCTATTTCAATATCTACCTGGTGACTCAAGCTGAAGTGGTGACGGGGGAGGCTGGTATGAAAGCACAGAATTCTTGATATACACTTTGAATGTTACAGAGTTGATAAGATTCGTTGTTGAGTTAGATGGGAAATGTGACAGAAGAAGAAATCACAGATGCCCATGGTTTCTGGTCTGATAACTAGAAGAATTAGTGATCACTAACTGAGATGGTCAATCTTCAACCATTTCAAGAGGTAGCATATGACCAAGAAGGGATGGTGTACTGAGTGAAGACATCCAAGTGGCACTAAAGGCATTGCCCAAAAAAACCAAGGCTCCAGGAAGTGACGGACTACAAACTGAAATCTTTTGCATCACTGAGGCACTCACTCATCTATGCCAAGAAATTTGGAAGACAGCTTACCTGGCAAACTGATAGCAAGAGATCCATATTTGTGCCCATTCCAAAGACAGGTGACTCAATGGGGAAATCACCAATATCATATGCAAGTAAAGTTTTGTTGACGATAATTTAAAAACAGCTGCATTGACAGAGAACTGGCAGAAAGTCACGCTGGATTCAGAAGAGGATGTGAAACTAGGGATATTAATGCTGATATCAGATGGATCTTGGCTGAAAACGGGGAATGCCAAAAAAGATGTTTTCTTGTGCTTTCTTGACTCTGCAAAAGCTTTTGATTGTATGGATCATGACAAGCTATGGGTAACACTGTGGAAAATGGATACTCCAGGACACTTAATTGTGTTTACGAGGAACCTGTACATAGACCTCGAGGCAGCCATTTAAACAGAACAAGGGATACTGAACAGTTTAAAATCAGTAAAGACGTGTGCCAGAGTGGTATTCTTTCGCCATACTTATTTAACTCGTATGCTGAGCAAGTAATCCAAGAAGTTAGATTATACAAAGAAGAATTTGGCATTGGGATTGGAGGAAGACTCATTAATAACCTGCACTAATGCAGATGATAGTTGAAGTACTTACTGATGAAGATCAAGGCCACAGCCTTCAGTATGGATTGTACCTCAATGTAAAGAAAACAAAAATCTCACAACTGGATCAATAAATGACATGATAAATGGTGAAAAGACGGAGGTTGTCAAAGACTTCATTTTGCCTAGATCCACCATCAACACTCATGGAAGCAGAGGTCATGAACTCAAACGATGTATTTCATTAGGCAAATCTGCTGCATAAGACCTCTTTAAAGTGCTCAAGAGCAAAGGTATCAGTTTGAGGACTAAGGTGTGCCTGACCCAAGCCATGGTATTTTCAATAGCCTCATTATTCATGTGATATTTGGGCAATGAATAAGACCATAGAAAAACTGATGACTTACACTGTAGTGTTGGAGAATAATATTGCAAATACCATGGACTACCAGAAGTAAAGCAAATCTGCATTGGAAATACTGCCAGAATTCTCCTTAGAAGCTAGGATGGCTATACTTCATCTCTCATACTTCACACATATTATCAAGAAGGACCAGTCCCCGGAGGAGAACATCATGCTTGGTAAAGTGGAGGGTCAGCGAAAAAGAGGAAGACCACCCAATGAGATGGACTGGCACAGTGGCAGCAGTGTTTCACTCTATTGTGGATCGGGAAGTGACTCAGTGGCATCTAACAACAGTAGCATGTCCACTTTATTGAAAGTTTTATCAAATCATCTTCATAAAATATTGTATTTTCCCGTTAAGAATCAGCAACCATTTATATTATGAAATCTATTAATTTGAGGAATGATAAGGAGAAGAGAATTTGGGAGAAAAGGAATTAAAAATCAATGGAATCAATAATGGTTTATTAAAATTCAAACACTGCTGACACTAAACAAAGATGATTCCAAATAGTTGCAAATATGTGGAAAATAAACACGATTCAGATAATTTTAGTGCAATCGGTCATGCCACACCCACATGTCTATTTGCAAGAGAGTATGCCTCACCATTGGAGCCTGTGATTAGGCCTGTACATTTTTATTTTTTCAAAGTTCCACAGGTGCTTACGAGATTTGAGAACATTCCAGCTCATCTTGAGTCAAGAATTACTAGAATACAACTGCTTGAAACAAAATAAATCACAACAACCAGACCCCTCTAACGAAGTCAGAAGTAAAGTCACCGTAAGAAAATTTTCTAAAGGTAGTGTAGAGCAGGTAGTGTGCATGTAGGGCTGCATGCTAACTGGGTGTGAACTTATATTTGCCAAGCTACAAATAATTATACTCAAGGATACAAATATGACTAACATATGACCTTACTCTAACGGGCTCATTGTTAAAATATAACACAGAAATTGTCTCTAAGTCAATGAACTCAGATATACCTCAGTGTTATACTAACATCCACTAGTCTTTTTCAGAAAAGGATAATCAACAGAGACAGATGGAAACCTACCTTTTTCATTCACAATTCCAATTCAATTAACTGACATTTAAAGGAGAGTGAAGGAGATAAGAATAAAGAACAGGATTCAGATTTCTCTGTGGGTTAAATCACTCTAGGACTCATGTAGCAATTTAGACTTTGATATCAGTCTATATAATGGTATATTGTTAAAATAAAGAGTTTTTTGTTAACTCTTCAAATATCTGGATAAAGCAGGTCAACTAATCATTTATTAAAATGTGTTTACTGATTTGCAGAAAATTCAAAGGGTAAGTCATCATAATGACAGGAAAAGATTAAAGCGCTATAAATATTTTTAAAACCTTCCGGAATCCAGCTGACTATTATGAAGATCTGAAAATGCTGCTATCCAAAAGTCAAGTTACATGTTAATATAATTCAAATACAAAATTCATATGGATACACTCATCATGTGGGGCAACATGTGAATTTCTAAAAGATGCAATAATAAGGCCATGCTCATTTCTGCTGTGAAAGTGAAGGTACCCCAGTCAGCCCAGCAGGGAGAATGGTCCCACTCTGAATACTCTGCTTACCTTGTGTGTAGGCAGCATCATCAGACCCCATACTCAGTTTCCGCGCTTCACTAATCCTATCCACGTGTGCTAAAGCAGGGTCCGTGAGGTGCGGAATATTCTCTGGTTCTACGTAATGATCAGGATGATTGAGAAGATTTGTAAGTTCAAAGGTAGGGGACACCACCCCTGGTGAAACTGCAGGGGGCTTATTGGGAGAAACTGTGATTTTGAAAGTGTACTTCGTATTGGGCTGAGTGACCACTACTCGAGGAGAAGTGGCCGAGTTATTGCCTAGTGCTCGACTTTTGGGAGGGTGGTGATGAATGAAGGCAGGACCCATGCTCACTTGCCCAGACATGTTCCTGGAGGCAGCAGATGCGCCCGAATTTGTGGATATGAAGAGCGTGGGCTGGTTCCGCAAGCCCTGTTCATCTCCTGTGGTGGCATTGGCTGAAATATAGACCTTGGGTTGGCTACGGGTCATCACCTCATCAGTATTTGGGGGGCTGGCTGCTATGTAAACAGTGGGCTGGTTTCTATTTAAGGTCTGGCTGTTGACCGAAGAGGAACTGCTGGAGGTTCGAGGCCCAGAAGAACGTAATTTTGAAGAATTGTTTCTTTGTGGGGGTTCAAGTTTAATTTCAATCTGGTTTTTCCGAGGTCCTGTTGAAATATTCTGAATGTTGTATTGGCTGTGAGCAGAAGGCTGTGAGCTACCAGATGAATGAATTGTTGGTGGCTGTGGCGTAGTCGGTGAACTGATGGGCATGTAGACATGAGAGGTCTGGTGGCCTTGCTGGTTCGGCTGTTGGGCTGAGGTATGTGACAGAGGATTTGATGCAGGGTAAGTAGTCCAGGGACCAGGCTGTGAAGGTGGATAAACTTGTTGAGGGTTCATGGGATTAAACTGAGATACCCAGCCAGAATGCTGCTGTGTTTGTCGCGCTGTACCACTAGGAGTTGTAATGTAAGGCCTAATATAGATAGAATTTCCCTGTGGACTGTTTAGTACAGGTGGAGGGACACCATGTATGTGCAAAGATGTAGGAGTATTACGACCAGTCTGGATATTTGGGGCTAACGTTACCATAATAGGATTAAATCTGGGAGTTTGTTGAGAAAGGTTAGCAGTTCCTTTGCTGCCTAAGTGAAATCCAAGGTGTGGTACTGAATTTGCAGCGCCAGCTGTACTGGACATCCCAAACACGTTAAAGCCTTGAGGAACTTGAGCTGGTGCTGTCTGTGGCTCCTGCTGAAATAATTCATGATTCGACTGACCACCCTGAAGTTGTCCATCACTGATGCTGTGAGTTAGAGTCCTACTTCCATTCATTCTATTTCCTTCTCTTCCATGGTGGTAAACGTTCTGTGATTGCAAGTCCAAGTTGAGAGAAGTCATGTGATTGCGTAGACCAGAAATTCCAGAATCATCGGAAAAATTCAAGTCTCCTTCACCATAAAGATACCGTGTACTCTCCTGAGAGAGAACAGCACAGCAGGCATCCAGGTTATTATTATTCTACAAACAAAATAAAGCAGCTTGATGTTAACAACCAGAAGCCAATGATTACACTGTTATCACTAGGAAAATACAGGATTAACAAGGACTAAGTTAGTATGACCATGACAGATACCATCTGAACCTTTTCATTCAAAAAGAACTATCTTTACCCAAATGACTGAATTTACAATCAATCCTCACCAGTAATGGAAAAACTCTCTGACTAGTAATGAGGAAAATCAAACAAATCAGGGTTCTCTTTAAGGAGACAGTTTTGAAGAAAAAGGGTTTATGCAATGTAGTAAAATTGTAATCTAATTGAAAGCTGTAATTTGAACATCAAAATATAATAATTCAATTTTAAGTAAAAATACTATTCAGTTAAATTTCATGGTAAGCACTGGATTGGTAATTGCATTTCGGCAGTTCAAACCCACCAGACGTTCTCAGAAACCCTGTACAGGGTTGCTAGGAGTTGGAACAACAACAACAACAACAACAAGTTAAAATTTATTTACTAAATAGATAAGTAAACATATAACACAAGGATTATAAGGTTGGCACAGGATTGGGCAGTGTTCTGTTGTGCACAGGGTCACTATGAGTTGGTACTGACAACAGCAACAAATAACACAAGGATGTAAGTACTTCCAAAATAAGGGATCTAAGGAGTGAGTAAAGTCAAGAAGAGAAACTTCCGTTGTCTTCAGAAACAAGCTGTTTAAAAAGGATGTATACAGAGCAAAAAAATGAAGGTGTAATTTGACTTGCTTGTATTGTGGATTGTTGTTGTTTAGTGCCGTCGAGTTGGTTCCGACCCATAGCGACCCTGTACAGGGTTTCCGAGGCTATAAATCTTTACGGGAGCAGAAAGCCTCATCTTTCTCCCGCGGAGCGGCTGGTAGTTTCGAACTGTTGGCCTTAAGGTTCGCAGCCCGATTCGTAACCACTACGCTATCAGAGCTCCTATTAGGGTTTTTTTAGCTAGAAAAAGTTCTGAAGCAATATACTAGAGGAGGATCTCAAGAGAAAGGACAGAAGCCCACCCAAGTGAAAAGGGAGAACAGTCCCCCAAAGCAAGGATGTTACCAAGTAAACAGATGTTACCCTACGGGTTCCAGAGAGCATAACATAGCTTTATCGAAAACACTGCGTTTATAGATGGTAATGGATTTAATGATACTGGTGACGGTTACACATACGATTGATAAAACTGGTGTCACGGAATTATATACATGAAAGAGGATGAATTGGCAAATGTTGTGTTATCACTATTTTTATAAAAATTAAAAAACCTCTCCTCTCCCAAGTTTGACATAGACCCCTAGTTGTATACTCCCCATTCCTTTGTCATATTTCTTGTTAAATCAGCTAAAAAGCACATTACCTGGATGTTCAAATGACTGTGAACTCAATTTTAAAGGTTGTGGGGTCTGTCTCATGGGTAGGTGACAGGCAGATTTCATTTTGTTGAGCATACCATAGTGAGCTTGTTGTTAAAATCAGATTAATACAGGGAAGGTGGTATTACTTGTGTGCTCAAAGGAAATTAAAAATGAAGTATTTTCTATTTTTTTGGTAAAGTTGAAAAGCATATTTAAATGTTTCATTTTTTGAAAAGTTAATTCATGTATGCAGATCAAAACAGTATTAAACAATATACTGAGAAGGTTTATTCCTTCTGCCTCCATTAGGTGGGTTCCCTCATGTTTACTATAGATGGTTTCTTCTGTTGTTGTTCAAACTGGAGGCTGAGTGCTTACCCTGTGATTATGGATTGCTGCTGTCAGGTGTGTTCATGTCGGTTCCAGCTCGTAGACACCCTGTATAGGGCTTCTGAGGAGAGGCTGGTCAGTTTGAACTCCAGATTACGGATGGTCATGTTCATTTAACCTTAATTTAACCAGTATTTTTTTTTAAGGCGCACTGGTGTTGCAGTGGGTTAAGCAATGCCTGCTAACTGCAAGGTTGGTGGTTCCAATCCACCAACCACTCCATGGGAGAAAAATGATACTGTCTGTTCCCATAAAGATTGAGTCTTGGAAACCTCATGTGGGAGTGAGAATTGACTTATAGTAATGGGCTTAGTTTTGGTTAGCATTTCTTTGTGCACACAGGGTGAGCTACACATGTTTCTATACTTATTCCCTCTTGAGCTCTGGTAGCGTAGTGGTTACTTTCGGGCAGCGAACCGCAAGGTCAGCAGTTCGAAACTACCAGCTGTTCCATGGGAGAAATATGAGACGTTCTGCTCCCGTAAAGATTTACAGCCTGGGAAACCCTGTACAGGGTCACTATGAGTCGGAACCGACTCCATGGCACATAACAACAACAACATTCCTCTTCTATGTGCTACCATGCATTTTATTTCTTTAACATATCCGGAAGATTACAGACATAGTGAGAGCATGCTGACGTTGTGCCCTTTAAAAAAAAAAAATCTTTAATAATTCTACAAAAGGCTCTAGGCTTTGCTCCCAGTTAAGGTACTTCAAGGTCTCTATAGCAGCTACACGAAAATGCCCTGGACAGCTCTTTCACTATGAAGTCTTGCAAAATTGTATCAGAGATTCAACAATATTTTCTTACTGGTTTTTCCAATGACTCACTGAACACTTTGGCATAGCTTTATTTAACCACAGAATTGCACTTTCTTTGAAAAATTAAGGAGAGGACTGTGAACCACAAGGTTGGCAGTTCAAGTCTACCAGTTGCTCCATGGGAGAAAGATGAGGCTTTTATCTCCTTTGAAGATTAAAATCCCCGGATACTCTATACAGGGTTACTGTAAGCCGGAACTGACTCCACAGCACTTAACAACAATATCTGGGCTCTAGGGATGGCGATCTCTTCCCTACTATCTGATCCTTCCCCATACTTTAACTTATGACCTCATTTTTATGACTTGTTTCCTCCTCACTGAGTTTATCTCTCACATTCTATATTCACGAATGTGAACTCTTGATTCAAGCACCAAATTTATTTATTATGGACTTTCTATTCTACCATTATTACTAAGGAGCCCTAGTGGCATAGTGGGTTATGCGTTAGACTGCTAACTGTGAGGTCAGCAGTTCAAATCTGCCAGCTGCTCCACGGGAGAAAGATAAAAGACATTCTGCTCCCGTAAAGATTCACAGCCTTGGAAATCCTATACTAGGTCGCTATGAATTGGAACCGACTTGACCACACACAAACACCATTACCACCACCATTGTTATTGCTATTAGTATTGGCTGCTAACAATGGCTGAGCACTCAGTATGAATCGGGTATCCTTTTCCAAGTACTGTTGTTGTGTGCTTTCATGCGGGTTCTGTTTCAAAGACCCTATACAGGATTTATGAGTGGCTCGTTAATTTTACCTACTGACCTTACAGTGAGCAGTTCAGTGAGTATCCTACAGTGCCAACCCATGTATTAGTGTATTTAATTCTCTGTGAATTAAAAAAAAAATTCCATTGTACAGATGAGAAAAATGATGGTCAGAGAGGCTAACTAAATTACTACTGATAACTGTCAAAATTTGAACTCATTACCAAACGTATGCTCTTGACCACAGCCCTACAGAAATAGCCAGGTAGCCAGAGATGCGTGGAGGAGGCTGGGGCCTGGCTTAGAGATCAGGCTATGGAGCATGACAGGATTCCAGGTGACAGTCCTAGACACAGGGACTTTATTCTGAAGAGCATGGAGACACAACATTTGCATCTAGAAGGACACTTTGGCAGAAGTAAGGAGGATGGGTCCAAGAGGTCCAAAGTGGGTTAGACTAAAGGCAGGTACGTCAACTTGTAAGTACAGAGAAAGGTTACAATAACGTGAACAAATGTCTGCACTTGGTAGCAACGGAGATACTGAGCTGCTTGGAAATTTCACACAACTGCAAACTTAAGAGTAAATATGTCTGGCTGAGCCCAAAATACTTTCTATAACTAGTTTAACAAGCTCCAAAATAGTTTCATTAGAAAAATGTCCATTAAATTACATGGTTAGACACAGTATCACTAAGTATGTAAAATAATAGTGTTTCAAAAATTTTGTACACCAACAATAATGTAAAAATTCATCAGAAGCTTAATGATATGCATCAGAATGCTTACAAGTTACAAATTCAGTAACGATAAAAAACAAACTTTTTTTTCCTTTAAAAATTGGGACCTTTGGCACCATCTAGTCAAATGCTTTCATTTTATAGTTAAGAGGACTGAAGTAACAAAGAGAGCATATGACCTGGGGTCTCCAATCAGAATTACTAGCCCAAGTTTCCTGACTCACTATTTAATGTTTTCGTACTTTCATATGAAGATCTGGAATTTTAAGAAGCTCTGCAGGCGAAGTAGGAGGGAGAAAAGTGAAATGAGCTGGTACCTAGTGAGTAGGGGCCAGCCATTAACGGCCTACATGAGGATCTCATTTAACCCTCACGCCTCCTGTCCACAATACACACACGGGGTAGAGAGAGCTTAACTAACCACCAACAGAAAGAGATAAAGGAGCTGTTCTGGGCTTAAAGTAAGTACTGGGTTTGTGTGAACAAATTCAGAATCATTGACCACTGACCTGTAGCATGCACCTGGATACAACAACTTCTGGGACTTCAGGGAATTTTTGTCGCAGGTCATGTAAAACCTGAAAATCAATTTGGTGGCTTCCTTGGGCCATTCGTGTGTTGCCTGATCAGGACTATTACACAGCAGGCAATTCTAGGCCTTAGTGGAAACAGTTCTCATCTCTTCTGTCCAAGCATTTTCTGTGAAAGAAAAAACAAACTGAATGAGAAGTACTGCTGTAGATTTAAAATGTCATATAAAGGGCATGGGACTGACTACTGGACACCGACTAGAAACTACGAATGCATTATTCAGGCCTAGGTCCCTTCAGCTCCTAACTCTTGATGGCAAACATCACTACTAATCCCTAGACGTCACAGGCTCTACGCCAAAGGCATTTAGTCTGAAACCACTGTCAAGGATGTCTTTCCTCATTCTTTTAACAGGGGAATGGATACTTGGCTGATTTTATTTCCTAATGAGCAGTGGAGAGCCTGAAGTGAATAATTCTATTTGGTCTACTTAAAATTCTTAGTTTGGACCCTGAAAACCTGTGACTCTACAAGTTACTCTGTGTACTTTTCTCTAATAAAACGCAATGATCCATAACCCAATGATTTGAAATTCTGTCATACTTTGCAGATATATTTAATCCTTAAATGTACCATCAATTTATTCCCATCAGCTTAACAGCATTTTATTTCCTCTGCTTCTATTAAATGTTAAGTGCCCTCGAGTCAGTTTTGACTCATAGCAAGCCTATATAGGGTTCTGAGGAGCAGCTGGTGGGCTTGAACCTTGTGGTTCTCAGTTCAGTGCTGATCCTACAGAGCCATCAAAATGCTAATGCTTGGGCCCCAACCCTGGAGACATCATTGGCCTGGGGAGTGGCCTAGCTGGGTATGCGGGCATTTAAAAACTCCCCAGACAATTCTTTTGTGTGGCTAAAGTTGAGAACTACAGTGTTCTTTTCATTTCTAATGATTCTAAGGTAAACTATGTGTTTAAGCTTGAAAGTCCCTTTGGGATATAAATTAGATAAGCACATTTAACCTAAATAACATTAAAAATATTTAAAATGTATGCTATTTTATTAACAATTGAATAGCATTTCTATTATGATTACGTTAACATGATAATTTCTTAGACGTGAATGTCTTAGCTGTAATATTTCTCTCTTTAACAAAAGCTTTAAAAAAAATACTGTAAGCACAGCTCCATGAATCTAGAGACTCTTGTTCATTATTGTGTCCCTCTTCTTCTGTAGAGCCCTGGTGAGGTGCTGTGAGATAAGCACAAAGTTGGGGGTTCAAATCCACCAGCAGCTCCTTGGAAACCCTATACATGGTTGCTGTGAGTTGGAACCAACTGAATGGCTGGCACACACCAACATAGTATTTTGTAGAGTCTTGAGAACAAAACAGATATTTAAATATATATTTATAAATTTTAGTAGACTTAGTTAAGATAGGGAGTCCTGGTGAGGTGCTGCAGGGTATTTACTTGACCACAAAGTCAGCAGTTCAAACCCACCAGTGGCTCCTCAGAAACCCTAGACAGGGTCGCTATGAATCAGATCCAACTTGATGGCACTTACCAACAAAACAACAATTCCGAAAGAACTTGTAAGTCCTCAGCAGAATAAAAATGTTTTTAGATATCAGGTTTAGTCAACTTTACAGCTTTTCATTATCAATTACATTCTATTGAATTCTTTTCTGTATGTGATGTCAAACAGCCTTTGTGGTACACTAGGTTAAGTGTTGGGCTGCTAAGTGAATGGTCTGTGGTATGAACCCACCAGCCACCCCGCGAGAGAAAGAGGAGGCTGTCTCTTATGTAAACACTTACAGCCTCAGAAATCCTATGGAACAGTTCTACTGTACCTGCTCTCCGGGGTTGCTTTGAGTTAGGACAGAGTCAACAGCAAAGAGCATGTGGTTTGACAGCCTTATACAGGGTCACTGTGAGTCGGAACTGACTTGACGACACTTAACAACAACAGCACTGGAACACAGCACATATGATACAAGATGACTGAAGGGATGAGAAACATGCTCCACCACTGCCCCTCTTAAATCCAGCCCTCGGCTCCTCCATAGCCTCTGCGGCCATCAGCCTATTCCTCTGTTCGACCCCCAAAGCAGTTTCTAAACCTGTTTGCAGGAGTTGCTTACACATAGGGTCTGCACGTCCTCTTCCCTCATTCCCTTTTAAATCTATTCTCTTCTGGCTTTCCTAGCTTTTGCCCAAAACCTCTAGCTTCTCCAATCCAGTGGTCAGTTCTCAGCCAGCTTCTCAGCAGCGTGTGACAGACAAGAAATCGCTCATTCTTAAACCATTTCTTCACTTGACTTTGGAGATACAAACTCTTCTGTTTTGCCTCCTATCCACTGCCTGTGCCTTCTCAGCTGGAATCTTCTCCTCCCCTAGGCCTCTAAATGTGGGAGGACTTTGGGGTTCAGAACTCATTCCTTCCCAGTATATGCACAGTCTCTACAAGGTAAGTCCTTTCAAACAGTGCTTTAGATAACATCTGTGTTCAGAGGCTTGGCAATTTTACATCTCCAACCCAAAGACCTCTCTTGAGCTCCAGACTAGTAAATATACCCAATTACTTCCTTTAACAGACAACTCATAACCACTACAGCTCTTCTAGTGCAGTGGTTGAATAAGCTGCACATCTCATGGTCAGCAGTTCAAAACTACCAGCTGTTCCCCGGGAGAAAGATGAGACTTTCTGCTCCCATAACGATTTACAGCCTCGGAAACTCTATGCAGGGTTGCTATGTGTCAGAACTGATTCTACAGCACACCACCACCACTTCCTTGACATCTCCTTTTGAATATTAAGAACTCATTTGAAATTCAACATGCCCAGAGTTGAAGTTAATTTCCCCACCGCATCTTTCCCATTTCAGTAAATGGTGCCTTCTCTCACATCCACTATCATGTCCTGTTGGCTGTATTTACAAAAATTACTGTGACTCTAACCACTCTTCCCCACGTTGTTGCTTCTCTTGTCTAAGCCAGCAGCAGGACTAGGTTACCTAGACTAGGCCTGCAAAGGGGCATCGAGGGCTCTGCAGGAGAACAGTGTACCCATGCCCAGCCACCACCAGTCTTCAGTGGAGGCTTGTGTGTTGCTACGATGCTGAACAGGTTTCCGTGGAGCTTCCAGACTAATATGGACTAGAAAGAAAGGCCCAGCAATGTATTTAGAAAACCAGCCAATGAAGACCCGATCAATCACAGTGGCCTGATCGGCAATCCATCACAGTACCAATGGTGCACAAGGCTGCCATGGGTCAGGGCTTCATCCACAACACCGTCCACCGGGCTTCATCCTGCCTTCCTTTGCACCTTCTCTCGCCATCTACCCCATAGCCTTTTGTAGAGGGTACATCAGGGCAAGCACTCCCTCTGCTCACTGTTCTCCCATGGTTCCTGGTAACTACCACACCCTCACTTCACACCACCTTCTCCATGTTCCTCCTTCAGGTTCCACTCCTCCTTTTTCTCATGGAATCCAGTCTGAATCCTCCCTTAGGGCTTTTGGTCTGGGCTGCTTCTTCCTCCAGGAATACTCTTTTCAGAAAATGCCATTACTCCTTCTCTTACTTAAGTATTTCTGAGCAAATGTCACTACCTCAGAGTCCGCTTACCTGGCTAATCTCTCTCAAATAATGCCACACTTCTGCCCCCACTGCCATCACCTCCTCCTCATACTCTGCTTTTTCTTCACAGCAGTAGAAAATGTTTCTGTGGAAAATGAAGATTTAGATTGGTAACTCAGACCCAACCCCACACAGAGCACACTTCACCACCAGCGCATCCACCCCATTACTCAATGAGTTTGTGCTACGTCAATATTCAGTGTAACTAATGAGAAGGGTAGACTGAAAAGGCAACAAAATAACAGCTAGAAAGCAGCAGAGATAAAGCAATGGAGAAACATACAGCCAACAGAGGGTTTCCAGACTGAAAGATTCCTGAGAATTAAAGGCATTCAGAGATAAAGGTTGAAAATTCTTTTAGCAATGAAGACATGTTCTCACATTGAAAAAAATGACACATTAAGTTTAAACAAAATAAAAACATATTTGTATCTGCATTGTAGTCAAACTACAGAATGCCAAAGACAAAGATTCTACCTTAAAAAAAAAACAAAAAAACCCAAAAAAACACAACAGAGAGAAAAGAGCTATACCCACAAAGGAATAACAGCTAGATCGATGAATGTGGAATCCGTAACAATAGATCCAAGAACATAAGGAATAACAGACAGTGTGCAGATCCTGAAGGTGGGGGGCTAGCTGCTAAACTGGGTATTTATACAACTACCTCACTTAAAATAATGAGGGTATTGTTGTTGTTGTTATATGCCTTGAAGTCGGTTCCAACTCACAGTGACCCTGTACAGGGTTTCCGAGGCTGTAAATCTTTACGGGAGCAGAAAGCCTCACCTTTCTCTTGTGGAACAGATGGTAGTTTCGAACTGCTGACCTTGTGGTTCGCAGCCCGATTCGTAACCACTACGCTATCAGAGCTCCTACCCTATACAGCCTGCTACAAGTGTCATATGTATTGAAGAATGAAACACTCTCTGAATACTCAAAGCATCTGTAACACTAAAAAAAGAAAGAAAATCTATATGTTCTTTTGAAATGACAGGTGTATTTTTATAATTGCTGTAGAAAAAATGCTATAGAAAAATGGAAGCCTGCTTGGTGGTAGTTGATTGTGTGTTGTTCAGTTGGTTTCAACTCAGAGCAACCCTGAAAAGGGTTTCTGAAGTTGTAAATCTTCACGGGTACAGAAAGCCTCATCTTTCTCCTACGGAGCGGCTGGTAGATTAGAACTGCTAACCTTGTGGTTAGAACCCAGTGTATAACCCACTACGCCACCAGAGTCCCTAATGCCTACTTACTCATAACAAATGAACTATACAGATATTTTCTTTTAATATTGAATTCATACCAAAGTTTATCACTTTTCTATTAATGGGTATCTAAGTTGCTTCTACCTCACTTAAAATAATGAGGACCTCGCCAGATGGAACACATAGAAATCAAATAGACTACATCTGTGGAA